ACAGGCTGTGCCACTGCGGGGCGAGAGCCTCTGCAGTAAACAACACACGCCCGTGCCCTTTGCCCACAGGCAGAGCCCGAGGCAGGGCTCGCACGGGAGAGAGAGCATCACCTCCGTCTGCTGCTCAGCACCGGGGCACAGCAAAGGAGGCGCATGGCCATGCCAGATCCCACCAGTGAGGAGGTGACATAGGAAAGTGTCTTTATATTGAGCCCACGCTGAGCAAAGCCCTGGCTTGCAGCTTGTCCTGTGCTCTCGGAGGGGTGGCTGGGGGGACATGGTGCACCATCCTGCCACCTGGAAAATCCCTGTGCTGCTCAGGCAGGGACAGGCCGTTCCTTGGTAAGCGAGGCAGCAGGAACCCAGCAGGGAGCGTGTGCCCTGCTGCATCCTGAATCTTTCCAGGCAAGCCAACCTTGGAAACCACCCGAGATGTAAGGGCTCCTGGCAATTAGCCAGCTCCCAGTGGCACTGATTCGGGTCTTTTCTCCTTCCTACCACATGTACCTTTTTCCACTACCAGCAAAGCAACCCTCAGTATCTCTTCTGCCATGAAGGACCCCCTCTCTGAGCCCAGGCACCTGTGGGTGTGGGGTATCTGCCCCCACTGAGAGCTTTGAATTTAGCTGCAGCAGCAGTCTCTGGGTCTCAGCCACCTTGATTCTGTTTTTAAAGCAATACCAGAAACTATTTGCAGTTACAAAAATAAAGGTAGAAATATTTTTTTTCTACTGCTCTGCCCTACCATATTGGGGTTTCAGCAGAAGTGAAACTGGCAGGGGCACAGCCTGCTCTCCCCAGGGGCTGTGTGTCTGTGAACAATACTCTGAGTCCCAGCAGTGGGAGAGGCAACTCCCACCCTGCCCAGGTGAACCTCAACATTTGGAGATGCTCTCCTGCCCCAGCAGCTGTGCCTCAGCCTCTCTGCCTGCCTGGCTGCTCCTTTGCTTGCCAGATGAGCCTATAGAAAGCAAGTGCTCATGAATTACTGGATGTACAGACTCATCTCAGCTAGTCCATAAAAACAGACAATAGCAGTAAAACATTTTGCAAGGAAGATATCCAGTGACAGGAACCAAATTTCCTTTATATTGGCCAAGTATTGTAGTGGGTTACAGCTCTTGTGGGATGGGTTCCTCCTTTTGTCTAGAATTAGTTCCAGTGGAGCAGCATCAAATTATTTGGAATAGGAAAATGCATGACCTGCATGACTCTTGCTTGGCTTTAGCTGGAAGTGAGCAGAGTAATTTCTGCAGAAAACCTTGTCAAGGCAATTTTACTTAGGAGTGGAATGGGGTAAGGAAAGATTTATGATGATTCAAGAATGATCCAAGGGGAGGTGAACACAATTAGGCATGTTCCTGAAACAGTGCTGAGAGTTCCTGAAGGATGTTAACAAGTCAGGGGAAGTTCCTCTGGCATATTCATTCTTGGACCTTTTTCATAACAACTTAAAGGCACAGACAGGAAAATACATTGTGCAATTGTTTATAAATGGTATATGAAGATTCACAGCCAAACCCAAAAGCCTGCACACGAGGAGAGCATCTGGCATGGGAGCTGGGAGACTGTGAGCCACGCTCCCAATCCATCTGCGTGGGACCTCATCGGACTTCATCCCTCCTCTGTGCTCCAACCACCAGCGTGGGCACTGCCACATGGACATGGTGGGTCAGAGAGGTCTCAGTGCCCTGGGCACCATGGGCTGGGGCTGGACTCCTCCTGCGAGGCACTTCTCCACCTCCTTGGGGGCTTGGGCAAGCTCATCTTGTAGTGGGGTCGTGTCCCCATGGCAGTGTGGGGATGCATCAGCTACCCTCCAGCTACCATGCCACGCACGGGGCGGGAGCCGAGCTGAGTCCTGCCAGAGCTGTGGTCAGGGCTGACCGCGCTGTTCCCCTCCAGCCCCAGGCTGAGAGAAGGATTTGTCGGGGGGGGGGAGAGCCCTGCAGTGGGGGAGGCAGGGACGCGGGGCAGGATGCGGCTGGCAGCAGGGCTGGGGCGGGAGGGGAAGAGGCCAAGGGCAGGGAGCGATGCTCTGCATGCTTGGAGGAAGTGTGAGCACTGCTGCCCGCTGAGGGTCACACACGCCTGGCACTGCTGGTGGCTGGCAAGGTGTGTCTGCGCCGCTGACATGGTAGGTCCTGCTCCTTTCCTTGAGGATTACTTGGAGTCTGCTTGGAAAAGGGGATTAGAGAAGTGCAGGGCTGTGGGCAGGCACTGACCAGAGCCAGTGCCACTGCTACCTGTGGGACACATGTAGGCTGTCCCAGAGACACCCTGCTCTGGGCAACCCCAGGTGCACAGGGCACTGCCACTGCAGAGGCAGATG